AAAGAGAGCGTTGTAGAGCGAATGAAGGACAGACTGAAGGAAGCCTAGTTTTCATTAACTCACGGGGAACTTTGGCTGAATTTGAGCTTTAAGTCCTTTAGTTCACTTTGGTCCAGTTTGGTCCACTTTGGTCCACTTTGGTCCACTTTGGTCCACTTTGGTCCACTTTAGTACAGTTAACTCACATGCGCAGGAGAAGACAGGAGACACCATGGACAGACCATGTAACCAGGTCAGCTTTACAGCAGGAGACCGGAGACAGATACATCTGTTCACTGGTTAGCAACGTTTTTCTACAGCGCCCCCTACCTTTTGATGATAAGGCTTAAAAATCCCACTGTACTTTATTATTTGTACAATGACACTAAAGGTGTGAGCGAGTGAATTGTTTGTCATTGTGACACAGCACACAACCAAATGTGACCAAATGGGGCATTTTACCCCTCACCACAGTCAGCAGGGGGCAGCTTAAGCGCCCGGGGAGCAGTGTGTGGGCACGGTGCCATCCTCAGTAGTAACTTGGCAGCTGGTGGACTCGAACCTAAAAACTTCCGGACCCAAGTCCGCTTCCTTAACCACCAAGCCACCACTGCCCAGAACTATTTCCCCCCCCCCCCCCCGGGCAATTGAGCCCCGGTCACCACTGTACTAACGAGGCACTTCTTCTTTCTGACAACGACAAAAAAAAGTGTATCCACTGTGACACAAATGAAGGGGGAAAAAAAAGAAACGGCTTGTGAAGGTTCTTGATGACAGCTCGATTAGCTTAGCAGAGCTAACGAAATACGTAACGGCCTCACGTGGTGGGTTTCACATTATGGAAAATCAACCTCAACGTGAGGAAGTCTGGTTCCAGGAATGTGAAGCTGTCACTCTTGTTTTCTGAACTGATCCACGGGAACAGTCAAATGTTTTAGTCCGTGGCTCAGAGCGCTGTTCAACAACATGTTCCACAAAGTTCCCACTTCATGGCCTTGTCAATGCGGTTACTAGGCAACAGGTATTAGAGGTACATTTCATAAATTTAATTGAAACATGCAGCATCCCCAGCTGTGGCTCCATAGCCCTTACTTTGGGAACCATTTAACTAGAGGAGAATTTGCGGACTTGACTTCAAGGCTCTATCAAGAATTGGAGTATATAGAATTAGGGGATACTTCTTGCCTAAAACCAAGTATTAGAGTATAATGTATAAATAGTAGAGTAAAAATTATTATGAATTACTAAATTGGCAAATGGAAAAAAAATTCAACCTTCATTACTAAATTGGCAAATGGAAAAAAAAAAGTCAACATTTTTGCCAAATGGCACTGGATGACATTTTCTGGTTTGGCTGGATGTCATTTTTACCACACACACAAAAAAAGTATCTTGGTAAAAAAAATCTCTACTCTCTCCAAACTACTGACTCTAACTTTTCTAACTCTGTCCCCCTACTCTTCATCCTGCCCTGTCCCTCCGCTCTGCTGTTTTGTAATCCGATCCATCCTGGTCATTCCCAATGAAAATTTGAGCACCTCAGTCTGTCACACCTCTCGCAACCTAAAACTGAAGCTGTGCTGCGTTCACTGACCCGACTGTATTCACCACAGCCTGTGAAGGGAAACACACAGGGCCCTAACAAGCTTTGCATGAGTTCTACCAACCAACAAGTGTTAAACGTTTGACCCCGAGGGTAAAAGAGGCTTTTATTTCCTTTTTATTGATCGGAGCAGAAGACATGAACATGATTTCAGGTGTCTACTCAGTCACGTGTATCTGTTTTTCCCCCCGACGTCCTTGACATCCTCTGAGGAGTATCTTTAACTAGAGGCTGATCGATGATCGAGACACAGTCATTTCTAAAAAAAAATTGGTGATTAGCATTTCTGGCATCAGCAGCTTCCTGAGGACGGGCTCAGACATCATCAGCCGAGTGCAGCTGGTTTCCCCTGTAGCAGAGAACTGGCTGTTTCTCCTGCTGGAGTCTCACACTGAAGGCAATAAAGAAGAGGAGCGAGGCTGCTGCTGTTACTGTTAATCCTGAGAGGAGCTGCTGACTTTTTCAGGCATTGCTCCCTGTTGCATGACTATTGCTCATATCCTCTGGGGATAAGTCCTCTCCCTCTCCCACTCTCTCTCCCACTCTCTCTCCCTCTCCCTCTCCCCGGCTGTGTATCCATTACTTGGACACTCCCTCTCTCTTTCGCTCCCTCTGTTTCGCCCTCCTTCATCTCTCCTTCCTTTCTTATCTCACTCACTCCAAGTTTTGTCTCCACTGAATCCCTCGGTCCCTTACTGAATCGATTCAACCCTTTCCCTTTGGCTGCAGTGTCTACGGAGGCTTAAGTGCTCCTCCTAGTGGTACAGTGTGCACATTACACAATGACAGCACGTGTTGAAGGAAAGAAAGTGGACGCGTTGAAAAAAAAGGGATGATGATGGAGCTGTCGGGAAGGAGGATAGGATAGGAATTATAGGTGGAGTGAAGGGCAGAGGATGAAGGAGATAGGAGGAGAGTGAAGGGCAGAGGATGAAGGAGATAAGAGGAGGAGATGGAGATGGAGATGTTTTTATTTGTATTAAACTCCCGTATAATAATAGTTAAAAGTGTCAGGAGGAAGTTGGATTTCGGGGGCTGCGAGCTGATCTTACCCTGGACAGTTCCATATATTGACAAACCAGGTTATTGATGGACAGGCTGTGAGGTCACTTGTTGTTGACCCCTGACCTATGTCCTCCTCAGGTCAGGCAGGTGTAACAATATCTTCTCCAACTACATTTTCAGCTTGAAGCATCTTCAGATCTAGATCAGGGTCAGTTGCCTCTGGACAGCTCTTCTTCTTCTTCTTCTTCTTCTTCTTCTTCTTCTTCTTCTTCTTCTTCTTCTTCTTCTTCTTCTTCTTCTTCTTCTCTCTTCAGTTTTGTCCAGAACTGTTTTCTGCAGATACTTAATGGTCATAAGGAACCGTGAACCAAAACGTGCACTGGGTTAAACTCCAAAGTAATTTCCCTTAAAGTTCTCTCCAACAGCAGCTCCTCTGACCACGAGGAACGCCCTTGCATGTTTTATATCCAGTTGGGGGCGCTGTTGTCTCAGTAACTGGCTGCACATGGACGCAGGGGAAAAACAATTTGAAGTGTATGGAGATGATAAAAGGTGGCGTTTAAATGAACTGAGGCTGAGCTGCAGTTGCTGTTGGGCTTGTTTTGGCGTTTCTGTGTCCTCGGACGTTTCAGTCACACACACACACACACACACACACACCAGTGCACGGTTGGAATATCAATCAGTTGTCAGATGTATATTGAGGGCAGCCAGTTAGATCACTTCCCTCAGTGTAAGTGTGTGTGTGTGAGAGAGAGAGGGAGACAGAGAGAGAGAGGGAGGGAGGGAGAGAGACATGGGTGAGTTTAGGGCCCCCGGCAGATGAAAGGTGTGCGGCCCCTGCTTTACATTACTGCGGCCCATTGTCATGCAGAGACGACTCACATCCGTCTCTGTGCTCCGATAAACACCGGCACAAATCCATAGAATGACTTGTTAGAGTGAGGATCACACATTCAGTGTCTGTAGAAACTGACGTCACATCTCTGAGTATCACGTAGCTAATCCAGATTATACGTGTAATCTGTTTAACAGTCGACAGATCCATTAACATTTCTGTGGTGTAATAAATGCATTTTCTCCTCTTTTCAGTCGCCTTGATTTTTTTTTTTTTTTGGATTTTTTTAAATGGCTCACAAAGCCGACTTGGTAAAAAAAGTGGGTTCTCTTAAATTTCAGGGCCTCACTTCTCTCTTTTGAGAGTCACTGGTTCGGATCCGCAGGTTCACCGCACAAAGAGCACAGGCGCAGTTTGTCTTCGCCCAGGTTATGAATTGTGAGCTCGCTCCAACACGCCTTTTCTTTGCTGCGGCTTGGACGGCTGGCCGCGTGCGTGTGTGTGTGTGTGTGTGCCCGTGCACGCGCCGTGACGGGGTGAGTCGCCTTTTATTTTCTCAGACCAAAGGAAAGAAGGGGATTAGGAGATTTTCAGGTGCTCACCTTTTATTCAAACAAATTACTCACTTCAGATAATAAAAGGAATTTTCTCCCATTTTTCACACCACTTTATTAGGGTTTTCACTTTTGTCTTTTTCCCTCCATGGTCTGTCCCTGTTTTACCCCCACCGGATTAACAGGAAGTCGTAGTAAATGTCGTAAAAAAAAAATTGAGTAATCCTTGGTGAAAAGTTAAAATTTTCATGACTATTTTACCAAGTTTTTTTTTTTTTAAGTTTTGCTAATTCTGAATTTTTTTAACTCCGGGTCTCCAGAAACGCAGGTGCTCGTGGTCTAAAATGTCCATTTGTTGATGTGCTCTGTGCGCACACTGAGCCACAGGCGTGCGCAATGCACGGCTGTAAAATTGGGGGGGAGGACAGAGGGAGAGGAGGAGGAGGGCATGGAGGTCTGGTCTGAGGTGAAGTGGGGGTAAGAAGAAGAGGAGGAGGAGGAGGAGGAGGAGGAGTGTGGAGTATAGAGAACAGAGATGTGGAGTGGCCTGTGAGAAGACAGGAGGAGAAGGGAACAGTCGGTTTGCTGCTCAATTAGCCTCTTACTCTCCTTATTGATCTTCCCTGGAGCCAACAACGGTATCGCACTCAAAGCACTGAAGCTGTTCTGTTTTTTCCATGATGCGGGGTTGTTTGTTGTTTGTTGATTGGCTGGTTTGATTTTGGAGCCACAGACTGAGGGAGAAACTTTTTTTTTTTGCGTGAAAGTTAACAAATGCCAATTCACTTTACGCACATCTCATCAACGTGGACCTGCGTCACCTTGACCCGCTGATGTACTTACAACCGGGTTCGAACTCGTATACATCCCATCTCTGACTTTTACCCATTTACTTTTTTTTAAACATTTTGCGGATAGTATAGAGTTGAAAAACGGACACGTGATTTTGACCAGCGCATCTCCAGCTCCTGGAGGTCTGCATCCAGACTGAGCTGACCGGGACGTCTTTTTATTTTTACCCATGTCTCGACAGTTGAGCTCTTCCCCAGACAGCGGCTCTGAGGCTCGGGTGCAGCGGACCATGGACTCCAGGATCGTCCGGAGAAGGCGAAGCGGCGCTGCCCGACATCTGTTGCTGGCAGCCGCGTTCCTCTTCTGCAGCTCCCAGCTGCTGCTGGTCGATGCCAACTCGTGGTGGTGAGTAGCTTAAATATCACTTCAGTTAAAGCTGGAGTTTAATTGACATCATTCCCGCCTTATATCGTTATTTAATTGTTCTTATCTGGTGCGTAATTGTGGTTTTACGCACGGAAACGTCTGTTGGATAACTTGACAGTTGGCACATTCTGAGCCTCATGTCTGAGCCTCATGTGTTTATGTGTGTGTGCGTGCGTGTGCGTGCGTGTGCGTGCGTGTGCGTGCGTGTGCGTGCGTGTGCGTGCGTGTGCGTGCGTGTGCGTGCGTGTGCGTGCGTGTGCGTGCGTGTGCGTGCGTGTGCGTGCGTGTGCGTGCGTGTGCGTGCGTGTGCGTGCGTGTGCGTGCGTGTGTGTGTTTTGGGGGTGCAGTTCTGCGCCGTGTCGTGATCCTGTGGTGGAGCAGCAACAATGGATTGAACAAATGTGAAGGCTCTGTCACAATATTTACCCTGGCTCAGGCCCAAATGGCCGCTGTAAGGTGACCCGCTGCTGTGCCCCGAGGAGCGACGATTAGCCGCACACTTGTTCTTGACTTTCAGAATGCCCAGTTTAGTTCAACCTCACCGGAGGCAAGGTTATGTCCAGGTTATAAAAGCTCACTTGCTGCGCTGTTCTCCTGAGGATTGTAAAAAAAAATGACCAAAGTCTGTCATTTGACTTCAACAGTATCACTAACAAACTACTGTTTTTATTTAAGATAAAGTGGAAACTTTGACACTTGACACCTCTGGTTTTTACTAGAACAATTCTTTGATTTCATAAAATATTTTTATATGATAAAAAATACTTTTAAGGATATGGATAACATACTTGAAACCTTTATTTCCATATGAGCTTTACACCAGATTCTTATAACTGGCTGCAATCTGCCCGACTAGAAATATAAATTGCCCTAGATGGAAAACTTCCAAAATGGACCATAAAAGTGCTTGAGTTTGACATAAAGAAAACTCTGTGACCTCATTTTATATTGTAATTTCATTTTCTTTTTTTTTCTTTGAAAGCATTTTTATGGTCAGGAAATTGTTATTTATCCATCTTCTTTCACAGCAGACAGTATTAGAATGTTTTGGTGGAGAAGGAAAAGAAAAATGAGATGAAACTACGAGTATAGCAGCTTCAGAGATGTTCACCACATGGGGCTCATATATCTAGATTTTATAGGCCAGTTGTACTAATAAAAGCTGGCTCTGAACTTTTGTCCCCCCGCAGCACTGACCTCTGCTCAGGGAGAGTCAGGAGCTCACCGCACCACTGTCTCTCAGAGCTTATTATATTTATTTTATTTCTCTGTATTAATGTGGCCTCTGTCTCTCAGGTCACTAGCCCTGACACCCATCCAGCGACCTGAAATGTACATTATTGGAGCCCAGCCTCTCTGCAGTCAACTATCTGGACTCTCTCCGGTAAGTTCCTGCCAGTTACTGACTTTGTTTTTTATGATTTTGGACACATTATTATAGATCTCTATTTCTAACTCAAGATTCACTGTAAGGGTTTTGATGACAGGAACTTGTAGGTTTTTCTTCACAAGTTCTGACCTTCTACTGACAAGTCACAAGTGAAGTTCATCACATGTGGCTGGGTGATTAACTAGTAACTGGTATAGACTGCACTCGGCAGAAACTGCATTGCTTTTAAATAAAAAGCAAGAAAAGTGTCCTTTCTATTTCATATGCATTAAGACTCTTAAGTAATTGATTAATTATTTCTTAATTTCCCAAAGGGATTAATGACGTTCTATCTATCCATCCAAAGGGATTAATGACGTTCTATCTATCTATCCATTGAACCCCTGACACTGTGGGAGAACTACTTGTTTTACCCACTGAGCTATAACCGCTTCCGCTCACCTCCGTACATCTCTTACCAATTTATCGACGCCGTTAAAGTCGGCGCCTGTTCCATCCATCCATCCATCCAGCTAGCTAGCTATCTATCGGTCTATCTAACCTCAGGACGGGGATCAAACCCCTGACACTCCGTGGGAGAACTACCTGTTTTACCCACTGAGCTACGACCCCTTCCGCTCACCTCCGTACATCTCTTACCAATTTATCGACGCCGTTAAAGTCGGTGTCTGTTGTACCTATCAGCTCCTGTCCTGTACCTACATCAGCCTGACGTTCAGGAAAAGAAAGAATGTGCCCACAGGGTCTACTGGAGCTGTAGCATTGGAAGTAATTGAAAGAGTGGTGGTAATAAACTGCTGCTGTGTGGTCTACAGGGCCAGAGGAAGCTCTGCCAGCTCTACCAGGACCACATGATGTACATCGGAGACGGAGCCAAGACTGGAATCAAGGAGTGCCAGTACCAGTTCAGACAGAGGAGGTGGAACTGCAGCACCGTGGACAACACGTCTGTGTTTGGACGGGTCATGCAGATCGGTGAGTTCACAGCACATCGGTGATACATTGCTGCTGTAAAAAAATGTTTAGTTTTACTTTGTCTATCCTTGTGTGGTTCAGTGTGTGCTGGAGATAAGAAGCTGCAGGTACATGTTTCATCTGTGTCTCTGCTATAAGGCAGCACAAATGTGGAAAACAAATGGGATATAATTGAGAAATGCCTGCACCCAGAGGGAACTGTTAAATTCATTTTGCATGAAGCGCTTTTTATGACTCACTAAAATCTAAATGTTCGTAGGAAAAAAGAAAAGGCAGGTTGTACCACTGATAATGTATATTTGTAATGAAACCCCATTCAGTGAATGTTAAAAATACTTCACAAATGTGTTTACTCAACATCATAACATGTAAAGTTCCCCTCAACAGTTCTTATATCCACACTACGTTTTGACTAAACGTTACTTTTATGCACCATATGGTGCCTTATCGTAAATGTCTGAGTGATAAAAGGCTCCATAACACACACACACACACAGTGATTTGATTCGTCAAACAGCAGAGCCCCCAAAATAAAACACATCATTTGATTTCAGTCACAAACAAGCAAAAAATGTAAATATTGGATTTTTCTCTTTTTTCAGTCTTATATTGGATATAAGAGCGAGAACTGAAGAAGTAAATTGAACTGTTAGCTTTGGTACACAACATTATGATTTTTCTTTTTTTACTTTTTCTGTGTTTTAAAGAACAAAAAACAAAAACCAATTATCTAAAATCGTTTTTTACTTCTCTGTACCACTGAATGATTACATAAAATAAATAATACTATTAATATGCAGTGAAATCTGAATCCAGCAGAAACAAACAAACATTTTATTGAGTTTAAATTAACAGCAAAGAGTGCTATATTTCATTAGACATTAACAATTACAAAAACGTTTACGTTGATATTGTTAAATTAATAATTATTTTAAATATAAATAACTCTACTAAACCCATTTTTTATATTGACGATTTCTTAAGTTAACATTTTGATAGCTATATGAATAAAAACTTTTTTTTTTTAAAAAGTCGATTTTCACAAAAATATACACTTTATTTTGTTCTAGCGTTTTCTCCGTTGCGCATGCGCAGCTAAGTAATCAACGCCCATCAAGAAACGAAGTGAGGAGCAACGCTTTAAAGGGAAATCTGATTTTTAACAAATAGCTGCGAGATTGTCGTTTAGCGTTCATTTTTGTTCATTTTTTGTTCATAGGCTGCGTTTTTACCCTGGTCCTTATGATCCTTATGATCCTTAGTCTGGATCAGCAGAGTCTAATTCCCAGCGGGCGCTGGATGTGGGAAAAGTCTCATCAACACCTAAGTGTCAAATCCGCTGCGGGCAGTCAGACGAGGTGTTTGCGCCTCGGCCCGTCTCTCTATTGACAGTCAGTCTGTAGTTCTGCGGGTTTATGTGGAGGTGTTAGTCGCTCCATTGTCCCGCGGCTGCTCTTTTGAAATGCGCCGATGAGCTGACACCGAGCCAACACATCCGGAGCCGCTATTTGAAGTGGAGGCTCCGCCAGAGTCTCATAAAGTACAGGCTCGTTATGGTCCCGCTGCATCGTCCTCCTCAGTCAGATAAATAAACAGAGCAGTAGAAACATGTCGTCGAATCATCGAGTTTCTCAGCTTTACATTTAAATACACAAATAAATACCGTTGAGTTAGGACTTGAATTGGTCGACTTTAGTCGTTTGGTGTACTGTTTCCGCCTTCCCGTAAACAGTCGGCGATATCGTTTTTGTGTGATGAATTTTCACACCGTCATCAACGGTTCACCTATTCGTATTCCTTTAGTCGTTATGGGAGTTTTTCATCAAAATGATTCAAATGCTCTGTTTTACTTGGTAAGTTGTACCGATTTAAAGTGAAATACATCGGTTAAGAACTGTTTATTAACTTAATAAGAGTAAATACAGTGTGTATGGAATAAAGGGACAAAAGATGATTCTAGAACCCCGCATATGAAATAGCTAGCCATGAAACTCAAGTAATTGTTTATTTATATTTAGTTTGTCCATTACCTGGTTGCAACTCACAGGCTGCTGCTCAGGAGGAGCCATTAGTGATATGTGTCATTAAATGTAATGTGTCTAAAAATTAGAACTAGCTAACAGCTATACTGCTTAAGTAGATTGCAAATATGTTGTGAAATATATGTTAAGTATTTGAACACGTCTAAGCAGTTGAGGGTACAAAACTGGGTATTTTGAATTATCCCAGTGAGAGGATACTTCAAAGTTACGTTGACTTTTTCTAGCAGTGAAATAACCTTTAAATGTGACGTTAAATGATCCTGAAGCTAAAACAATGTCCCATTCTCCACTGTCTAAACCACAGAGTTTCACAGCCCCTGACCTCTGACCTGTCACCATTGTCTGTGTGGTTTTTAAACCTGTATTGAAATGTTTGGGGTTTTCTTCCGTGTACTAATGTAAAGGCCAGGACATACTGGTCGTGGTGTGTATTCCACAGTACACATGTGAAACAGTAAAGGGCCGGTGTGGGTCAAAGGAATTCATTAATATGGGCTCGTTTGCTAGATGCTCAGGCAAGAAACCTCAAAGAGCTACAACCAATCAACGAGCCATGTCATTTACATAGTGTAACTAGAGTTACGAGTCGACCGGGTGGTTCAGTAGTGCTGCTCCTATTGTCATTTTAAAAGCACAGGAGGGAGCTGATTGAAGTTACAGATTGACTCTTCTACAAACGGTGGTGCGGCTGAGGTGAAACCAGCTTTTATTAAATTCTCATTATTCATACGTTCCATCTTTTCTCCAGGCTCAAGAGAAACAGCCTTCACTTACGCCATCAGTGCTGCAGGTGTGGTCAACGCTATCAGCCGAGCGTGCCGCGAGGGCGAGCTCTCCACCTGCGGCTGCAGCCGGGCGGCCAGGCCTCGAGACCTGCCACGGGATTGGCTGTGGGGCGGCTGCGGCGACAACGTTCACTACGGCTACCGGTTCGCTCGAGAATTTGTGGATGCCAGGGAGAGGGAGAAGAACTACCCGCGCGGGTCATCTGAGCACGCCCGGACACTGATGAACCTGCAGAACAACGAAGCAGGGAGACAGGTACGAAAGACGCAACACACACCTGGAACATGTGGGTCAGTGAAAAAATGTACTTCAGTTTTATTGATTTACTTCACTCAAAAATATTCCAGTCGTAGCCCTTTACTTGTTTTATTCAAAGATAATCTGGGAAATGTTTCAAAATAAAAGGTCATTCAAACTGTGATACTAACAGAATAAAGTTATATAGAGATATTTTATTTTGAAAATGTAATGATCCTTAGACGATGGCATGGTATTATTGGTCCACAGTAACGGCTGATATTTGTCGACTGGTCCTTGGTACAAACCATGTTGCGGACCCCTGGTTTAAACCACCAATGGTCCAATACTTAGACTATCATAAAGTACATTCTACTCCCACCAAAAAAAAAAGGAAAAACCCAACCGAGGGGCAGCTTCTCTGCAGATACACAAACTGCCTTATTAAACCACTGAAATCCCTTCTCCTTGGTTGAATGATTTGTTGTTTATTTCTGCATACTTGACATAAAATAAATTAAATTTGATAGTTTCTGGTGTATGGTGTAATCAGTGGTTTTCCGTGGTGTTTGTGAGGCCCTTGGGGGCGCTTGTGTAACGGCGGGAAATTAGCGGCAGTGGAATTATTTGCAAGGAATCGTTTCTTTTGGAAAGTTTTTAAAAAATATTTTTTTATCAGAGTATACAAAATGACCAGGTAATAATCTCCTAACAGTACCAGTCATTATCTCCAGGTCATGATCTGTAGGTTTCAACTAATCTAATATGGTTAGATTAGTTGTCTAATTAGTTGTTAAAATAAAAAAACACACACACGTTAACTTTCCAGTTAATTCTAAGGCGTGTGATTTCAGCTCTTCTCTCCCGTTGCTCTGATACTTCTGGTATATTCAATGTAGTTCCTTCTGGAAGTTGAAGTTGGTGAACTCATGACTCCTAACCCAGGACTATATCTGTGTGTGTTTGTTCATGCCAGGAATGTATGTGTGTTGGTGTTTATATGTGTGTGTGTGTGTGAGTCAAGGTGGCCCCAAATTGGTGTGCCTGTGCATGTTATTTATTGGGAGGGTCCAAATGGTGGGACTGCTAACGCCCTTGGAGTCTGTGTAGGTCGCTGGGTCAATGCACATTCCATCACACTAATACGTCCAACACCAGGGGTCTCAAACCCACACAGTGGACAGGAACTGCTGCGACACACTCATGTCATAAAGACACCATTTATTTTACGAAAACCATTCTGTCGGGCTGACATATATTTCATTGAAACATTGGTTTTATATCTTTAATTATATATATATATATATATGATACTAAATTTATATGAGACTAAATTTTAATTGTCAGGGATTTGAGGCCCAGTTTCTTGTCTGACAGGCTGTTCATTTTACTAATGATTCTTATTAATTAACGTAAGGTATTTATCATTTATTTAGACTTTTTTTTTACATGTTTTGATACATGTAAATGAGCAGAGGACATGAGTTAATTTAATAACACAATAAACCATAATAATGCTGTAAAAAAAAAATCTTGTACGCAGAACATTATAAATTGTCCCTCAGTGCTTGCCGTACAGGGACAAACAAAGGCCTTCAACTTGACGTATGGGAGACTGTGTTTGGAAATGCTTTCAGGTAAATGGAGAGCATTACAAGAAATGCCCTTTAAAAAACCTTTCACCTTTGACTAGGTGAAACACACACACACAGAGACACACACGCTCACACACATGCACACACTCGCCTCGTAAAAGGTCCATTTGGGCACATTCATGTACAGAGTGGTTTAGAAGAATGTGTTTATCATCAGTTTTATCTGTCGAGCAGCTTTGTTTAAGCTGTTAACGAGAAAGAGACACACGCACAGTGTGTGTGTGTGTGTGTGTGTGTGTGTGTGTGTGCAGAAAGCTTGAATGTGTGTGCGCACAACTCACCTTCATTTGATTTGTGTGAGAGACAGCCAGTCTGGTTTATGAGTGTGCGTGCACGTGTGTGTGTGTGTGTCAGAGGTCCAAGGTGAGGGTCTGGAGAGGTTGTGTTTCTGCTGAGGGTCCCATTGGGGCTGTAGTAGAGTGTATGACTGAGAGATCTACTGCTACAGCTTTGTATTACACACAAACACAAACACACACCCTCTCATGCACATGCATTTAATAATAAAAAAATGTAATACTTAAAAAATCCAAAAACAAGTAAACAAGAGGAGAAAATATTCCAGTGTTAACCATGAATTAAACATATGTTATTTACCATAAAAAAACTCCCTGATATCTGTGTAAGACAACTTAGGCACCAATTCCCACTGAATTGGCTTCAGACTGCTGAGGACACAGCAGCATAAACGTAAATCGGCGCCCCCTGCTGGGGCTAATTTTTAAAATCCAAATGACAGATGGGTTTTGTAAATTTTGGTCGATACAAATACAAAATTGACATGACTTGAGTTACCGCCCAAAACTTTTACAGTTGAACCAAACACAGTAATGGATCAACTGTATTCGACTTTTTGTGATTCTCACATCGAAACACGTCCCTGTGATGTCACTGTGTCAAAGTTTGGTCCTGTTTATACACAACAACATGAGAAAAAAAACACCCGCTTTTTTTCTATTGGAGTTCAGCCCTGCCTCCTCCTCTCTCCTGTTTGATTGTCATCGTTTATTGTCGTGTGTCCAGTGTGATGGAAGAAAGGAGATGACAGGGGTGAAAAGAGGAGTAAGAGAGATAGGGGACAAGTCTCTCTCTCTCTCTCTCTCTCTCTCTCTCTCTCTCCTCCTTCGTCCCTGTTTTCTCTCTTTTCTCCTCGGGACACGCTGGGTCGTCTTAAGCAGGATTTGTCCTGCTCGGTCGAACAAGGCGAACCACGGGGCTTTTGTGAGGGTGACGGGGCGTGCCAGTATATGTGTGTGTGTGTGAGTGTGTACACAAGCGTCTGTCTGGAGACAGAGTCACAGGGCGAGGAATGGGACCCCGTCACACTCCCTCGACTCACAAAGCAGAGGCTGACACACACACATGCACAAGCTTTCAGGCACACACACACACACACACACACACACACACATTCACTCAGGTCCGCTGTCTCTGTTTCACACGAATCAAATTAAGCAGCTCTCGTCACCAAAACAACGACACACACACATTCCCTCGTTCCCTAAAAACAACAACAGCCCTCTGTGACTCTGCCTCGGCTCCGTCCGCTGCAGTGAACTCTCACATCTGTCTGTCCACCCGTCAGTCCCTCTGTTGACTCCGTCTCAACTGTTTGGAACCGGGACGTTTAAATTATTCATTAAAATTTGAGTTCAGATCCCTTAGTTTGGACACACGTCGCCGTGACGACACGGGCTACGGCAGGCGACGTTTAGATTAGCGTAATGTAGCCCTTTAACGCTAATGTGTTGTTTTTGGAAATTAATAGTAGGCTTTTTGTCTTTGTCATAAAATATATGTGTTATAACTTGTAATCCTACTCAAGAAAATCAAACTAACTCATTCAGGTCATCTTAGTCAGGGTTTATATAAATCCTAGAATCTTAAAAGTGTGATTTAAATTAATTTTAATGAAGAAATGAAATTAAATAAAAATCACATTTCAGTCTAACATCAATAATTAATGTTTGCTATGGAATCCAGCCACCAGTTGATGATCACTGTAGTAAAAGATGTACTGTATATACTGACATATGTCCATGTATACAGTCCAAGGTTTATGCAGTATTTATAGTTGTACACAGTTGTATATTTGATAGACTCTGTATCAGCACTGACTGAACTTCTCATCTGCTGCTGTTCCTGGTACAAACAGTGTTTTCTCCATTTCAGCTCCATTATGGCAGGGATGATCCCTGCCACTGACTCTGTTCTCACACACACATACACACGCGCACATACACTCACACACTTTCACCGGAAGGGGAGACATGGTCTCTCTGTCAGGAACAATAGTTTCCACACAGCAGGGTCTCAGCAGCTCAGTGTGTGTGGGTGAATGTTTGGTTTGTTATAGTGAGGTCCACAAACACACAGAAAGTGTCACATTTTCGACCTGTCGTCTGAAGGAATTAATGATCACTCACATGTAGAGATTCTCTCAGTTTCTGAACTGACCACAGACTGGGCCACTCTGAGGTTATATCTGCACCGCATGTGGCCCATGGGCCACTAGTTGAATTGTTTAATTGAAAGCTTAAGTATAGAAGGTTTAAAATGACAGAATTGCAGGTTAGAAGTAATCGAACATTTCAACAACAAAATCTTTGACTTCTCAACAACATGTCATTGTCCTCTGCTCTGGGTGTCTTGTTTGCGGGGGTCGCCGGGGTCGAGCGGCAGTATTGCATGGTGCCGAATGCTATGCCTGCTGGGTAGTAAAGTAAGGAGGAGAGGGGAGCAAGGGTGGGAGGTGGGGGTCAGTAGTGTAAGGGAGGCAGGGGTTAACAGAGGTGAGGAGGTAATTGAGATCAGGCAACACGAGGAGACACAGAGATGGGTTTCGGGTGTGTTCGGGGGAAATGAATGGTCAGGAGTGAAGGCAGTGATTTATTTATTTTTTCCATTAAGGCACAAATAAAAATCATTTAAAAATATATATTTGACCTTCCTGCAAGAACTATGTATCCACAAGAGGACCCCGCCCCCCATTTTCTGTGAACCACTGGTCTATATTTCCCTCCAAATTCACCACAATTGCTTTTTTTTTTTAATGCTGGAAACCAACCGACCGTATATTCTAAAGAAAAATGCTAATGGGCGTGCAGATAATAGCACGTCCTGCCAACATTGTATATATAACAATCTGTAAAATCACTAGCTTCTATACAAGAACTGTTAAAGCACTTGGAAAAATCTCAAAGCGTCAAACAGAGAAATCTTAATGATTTTTGTTTCTGCCATTTTGAATGGTTTAAATAAAAAAGTATCTTTTTCTCTTTTTTTAGAGTAAAAAAACAGTAGTTTTAGTAGCAGTAGTTTATTATATTACCTTCTCCAGCAAAAGTGAAAAAAAAAACCATA